TCACCAGCTGACTTTATCTGAAAAATCTCTCCTATAGTCTTTTACAGGTATGAAGCTATAAACAGGCTTGTTTCAGTTCCTCTTAAAGAAGAAATGAGCAAAAGAGAGTTAAAAAAATTACATTTCAGCTTTGGAATTATTTAGACTGTAAATTTTTTAAAGTACTTAATTTTTTAATATGCAGCAAAAGGAAGATCACCTGGAAATACAACTCCCTCTCTTCCTTCACAAACAATGCAGAGACAGACCAGTCACATTTTAAAGAAGACTTGCTATAATACAATAGATGCTGCAATATATGTGGACATAGCTTGTGATGTTCATTAGATTTCCTGTCATAGGCTGAAGCAGTGTCAGCAAGATGGGGAATGAATAACAAGAAAGCAACACTAATTTTGTGCTGCCTGGGAAATGTGGCACTGGACAGCCTGGACTAAAATTGTCATTAATTTCATCACATCCTTTTTTTTGGGTCCTTTACGGAGCTGAGTGACTATCAAAAATGAAAGAATGAAAAAAAAGCCCCCAAACTCTGCATAATTCAAAAATATGGATCTAATTAATTGACTAATTTTGATTTGTTTTGCAGTAGTGCTAGAAGTAGGCTTTCCTTCTTTTTACTTAGCACTTATGGTTCTCATCTGAGGCGTAGCAGATAGAAGTTCAAATTCCTTCTTTATCAGAAGGATCTGACTGCCTCTTCCAGTAAACAAAATCACCACCAGGCTCCAGAATTTCAGAGGGGAAAGTGAAGATGAATATTGCTTTCTGTCTCTTTTCTTATTTACCGTTCACTTTGTTTACCTATTTCCTGGAAACATGTAAACCTTCAAAAACTTGCAAATTAGGTTTCCTCTGTCTCAGGCAAACATCTGAATCTCAAAAGACCAAAAAGAGATTCTCAAACTTGGAACAAATTTAGAAATTAGTAGAAGACAGTGAGTAGACACTTTCTTCAACCCACCTGCCTTAGAGGAGTAACTTTGTGCTTAGGACATTTTTTCCTGTAGTGTAAGATATAGGTCTCTCAAACTTGGGACAAACTAAGAAATTAGTAGAAGACAGTGAGTAGACACTTTCTTCAACCCACCTGCCTTAGAGGAGTAACTTTGTGCTTAGGACATTTTTTCCTGTAGTGTAAGATATAGGTTCATGTCCTGTCACCAGCATGGGTAACTTAATTCTTCCTGTGTCACAAATCAGCTGCTTTGTCCCTTCCCACTTCCCACAATTGGGTGAAAACACCCCAACACAGGACAAGACAGCCTTTTGTTTTTCTCATAAGTGCTTCGAAATTATGCTTGGAAAATGTGTCACTGTTTACTGAAACCAAAATTTTTCTTTTCTTTCCCTCAAAAAAAAGGTGAAAAAAAAATGATTGGAGAAAATTCCGAACTATATTGAATGCTAATCTGCAAATTCAGTTAGTACCAGTGTCTGAGCTGTTTCCCCATGTGAGCAGCCTGGGCCATGAGCAGCTTTATACCTGGTTGCCCTGACTGCAATGAATTCAGCAGCAGCTACCTAAGGTAACCCTTGCAGACACTAAAGTGTGGGTTCTTTTGCAACCAGTCCACTTCAAAGCTGTGCTTCACCAAGCCTTCAAGATAGATACATGCACTTAAAATGGATAATTGTGTTTAAGTTAATTCTACTTAATGCTATAATTTCATAATTAAAACATATGACAATGAGCCAAATTAACATAAACACGATTCCAACCATTTAGGTCCACTTGCATTAAAATGCTTAGCCAAGTGTAAATAGATTGAGTGAAGAAGGATTTTTTAAATTATTATTTTGAAGCAGCTTTTCCTGAAAAAAATGTCAGGATTTAATTGTTGCAGAATATGACAAGTTTTCAGCTGCCCAATAGTAATGGAGGCAATTCAAAACAAGCAAGGAAATTTCCAAATTAAATACATGCTACCAACATACTTACATATTGCATATGGGATTCCTACAGAACCCTGTCTTAACCACTATGGCACATGAATGGGAATATTCTTCCATTTTGGAATGTGTAGATATTTACTTAAGCTGTTGTGGTACCTATTCTTTTGGACATAAAATATACATGCCAAAGGGAAGAGTGAAGCCACAGAAAGCAGAACTATTTATCATATACTAGGTCTTGGTTTGAAATATTTTAAGAGATGTTAGCAAAGATTTTTCTATTAAATGCAGTTCTTACATATTTTCAAACATTTCTGAATGATGCCATCCAGAATTACAAAAAAAATCGAGTTCATGTCTAAAGTGAAGTCACTATAAGTGTCCCATAATAATGAGACATCATTAGTAATAGTCACTCATCAAAGGAACACAATAAACCAGCAGATCTTACAAAAATTAATCAGTTATGAATTTCTTGGTAAGGGCTTAGGAAGGACAAGAAAAAATTCTAAGAGCCAACACAGATTGCTTGATCAAACAGCTTAGGAACCATCCATCTACAAAAATAAAGAGATAAAAAAGTAGGACATCCATTCCTGATTTTTGAGGCATATCAAGGTATTCTAAATCATATTTTATGACCTGCAGTCTTCAATAATAGAGGAAGATGATCAGTTTATGTTTGTTTTCAGAAACACAGTGTTATATATTTATGAAGTGTGGATTACACTCTTACACCTTCTGCATAGGCAAAAAGCACACCAGGAGAGATCAAAAAGGAGGGTGGGGACACAACTGTGGAGGAAGAAAGAAGTCCAAGTGCTGAAAAATGAGTATGGGCTGAAAAGATAGACTGGAAAGACTGGGAGCTGTGGCACTCCTCCCTTCCACACCCATCCATCACGCAAAGTGGCTACATAATATTCACACTTCTCAGAGGAGAAAGCACTTGAGGCTTAGTGGTAAATGGTAAAATACTTGTGGGGAAAACTGTTGCAGAAAGATCAACAGAAGACCCTGAGGAAGGTTTGGATATGACAGGAATGGAATGACTCAGGCAATACACAGAGGACCTAAAGTTCCAACATTTACAGAACTCTGTTTATACATCTCTGCAAACTAATTCGTTTACTCAGAAAATCCCTACGAAATCAAATGTACAAGTATCGTTATTCTTATTTTATAGAGAGGAAGTCAGCAGAGGCAAGCTGAGTTATCTTCTCAAAGCCAGTGAGCTACTGTCAGAAAGTGTTCTTAATCAGTAACAGTAAAATGTGAGATACAGGGCTTGTTCACAAGATATTTCTTAGAGATTTGAGGCCAAAAAGCATCTCGATATAAGCAGTTAAAAAGAGGAGGTATAGAAATACTCCAAGGGAAAAGAAGAGCGACAAACACAAATTGAAGAGCTAATAACTGCCCAAGAAGGAGCTTAAAGAGCATACTTGTTGCAAGATTTATTCAACTATTTTACCTAAGGGACTGGCAATTTTAACCTACATGAAAACCTACATGAAAAGTTGTTTGAAATAATTATACTGATTTCACAGTGATAATGTAGAAGAGGAGACTTAAAAGGAGGGGAGGGAAGCTGAAAAGTGGACTAGCTGAGCAGCAAATAGGAAAGAGAAACAGTATTGTCAGGCACCTGGTTCTGAGTTCATCCATGTGGCCGTGATATAGTTTGGAAGAATTCCACACGCTGAGAAGCAGAAACAGAGTAGTTGAAACATTAGGAATGCTTAGCAACTCCTTTGTGTTTTAACCTCGTCCTTACACTCCAACAGAGAAAAATATCACAGAAAAAAGGAACCGAATTATAATTTGATTTAAAAGAATGTAAACAGTAATTTGAAAAGAAAGGGCAATGCAATTTGTTGTGCAGTCACACAACATTCCTCTTGGATTTGAAATGTACCCGCGGGAGTTCCACCCCTTTTGAAAGTACCTGACGTCCAGCCTGTTCAGCCTGAGCAGCTGCTGGAGCTACAAAGCCTTTTTTCCTCCTCTGCCAGGATGGGTGTGATATGGCTTCCCAACCTGTCTATGATCCTATGTTTTTCTTTTCATCTCACCCTCATTCTGCTTCAACAGACTACTGCAGAACGAGAACTGAAGTTTGTGGTTGTAGTAAGTAGATTTATTCTCTATTTTGTTGTGGGGAGTACAGGGAATTTTACCTGTCTGCTGAAGGTTTGCAGTTGCTTTTCCTGTCTTCAAACTTAGAAGTAACTACTGCAGCTCTTTTGCTTATTGAGTTTAAAGACTTTACTTAAAGAAAGTAAAGACTTCACTTAAAGAAAATGCCTCTACTTACAACAGTTTTCATCTCCTAACTTCCAGTTATTATTTCAAGATAACTGAACAACTTCACTTTGTGGTAGACGCATAGTGCACAGGAGTTAAGAGATGCAACATCTATGTTTACCTAATTCTTCCTTAATTTAGCTGTCACCTGATGCATAGTCTGAGAGCTGGTGATTAGGACCTACCTCTTCTGTGCTTGAAAGCTGAAGCTTATGATGTTACGGAAGTTACTACACAAAGAAAAAGAAAGAAGTGTTTGCTATTTCACAATAACTGAATTGTCATAGCAGCATACTGAGAAACAGAAATAGGCAATTTTATGTAGATTTGAGACACGTGTTGCCTTAACTGCACATTAGTTCCATTAAAAACAGACTGTAATAATTTTTTGCTGGGCCATTGCTTACTTTAAAGTAACTAGACACTACTTCAATGTCACTTTCCCCAATACCTCAGGAAAAAGAGATATTAATTCAATGTATTACCTTGGATTATGAAGGTTGAACCATAGTTCTTTTCATTCTTTTTTTTCTTTTACTGATAAAGAATATTTAGCTTAAAGGGATATTTTCTATACAAAATTGAGAGGATTGGAATTCACATTTATTAATAAGAAATTGAAGATCTCCTTCCACCTCTCTCTGTTTGAGACAATATGTGTACATACAGGTAAGAGGCAGAAGCACTGGGTCCAAAACATATCATCTGGCTCAAGATAAAGTATTTTGCATCTAGTTGTCTATTGGCTGCATTGTACATGCACAATTTGGAGGGAGGCCAGAGTGCACAGGAAAAACCAGTTCCTAGTCCTGCTGAGACACTACACATGGCAGGGACTAATTCCAGTAATGTTCTGTATATAGCAATACACTTAAATGTTGTTTCAATGATAACAGGGAGAACTGGACACACAGATGAAAACAGGCAGACAGCAAGTCTTGGAGAATTAACTCCTTGAAGGGAAGGAGACTTCTATTGAATTGCAGCTGTTATTGTGTTCTAACAAGCAATGGTTTTGCAGGAATTACAGAAAATGCTCACCATTACAGAGATAGAGGCTTCCTATCAAAATCATCTGCTTATCATAACTATGCAGCCACCTTCCCCACCTACCAAAGAGAACAAAAAAACCCAGATAAATGTTCCCTTCTGCTCACTTCTAGAATTCTGCTGTGCCTGGGAAGGTACTCTCCTCTCACAATCTCCAACTTTGTGCTGACTCCATGTGTTTTGGCTATTAGCCACAAGTCCTTTTGTCTGAAAAGCTCTAACACAAGACAATTTGTCAGAATGCTTTAGAAATTTTCTTTCTCACATGTAAACATTAGCCTTCACCATAATTCTTGTGCATTGAATTTGAACCAGACAGAAGAAAATAGGAAATGTGTAGGATGATAGGGTACTTAAGTAGAAATGAAATAGTGATTAATTGCCTCAGTATACAGAAGTTTTGACCTGTAACTTCTGCCTCTACACATGCACTCATTCCACTCGCCATATATACAAAGAGGTGTGGTTTCTGAGGTGCTGTGATTTCATCATGTCTTTCTTCTTGTAACTCAGGATAGGAAGTTTTGACTGAACATGTCATCTCTGAGCATAATTTGTCTAATCAAGGCAAGCCATCTGAAGCCTTGACTAAACATGCTCAGTATTTCTCCATCTATGGTTTCCCTGAACTGGCAGCATGATAGTTCCACTTCACTCTTGTTTTTTCACTCCTATTGCTGGCTTTAAAAGAAATCTTTTCGTTTGAAGCTGAGCCTGTCAATAAAAGTATCTGTAAGAGGCTCACACAGAGACAGATAACTGACTGCAATCCATGGCATTTCTAAATGAAGATGTTATACCTACTGCACATGCCATATTCTCAGTTCACCCTCACCTCTGCACCAGTTTTTCTCCAATATGATTTTTCACCTGACAACAATGGAAGCAAATGCTGGCCAAATTCTGAGTTGTGTGACCATCTTGATATAAAGTGATCACCCGCACAAAGTTACAGAGAGTGAATGGGTGAACCCAGACACCAAATCAGATTCAATCTGTATCAGCATTGAAGGAGATTGTATTTAGTAACTATATACCTATTGCTTTTGAGAGCTGTTGTGAAGCACTTCAGAAAGGAGTGCTGAAATTACTACGACAAACAGGTCTACTTTGCTCTTCTTGTGTATATCCTCCTTGCCCTCCCTTCCTTCTTGATTCCTAGTGTCTTCACCTTTTATGATGCCTCCTTGCTCCTCTTCTCTCATCCTATCATGTTCTATGTCTTCTGAAAGGTCAGGAGGGCAATCTGTAGGCCAGGAGTAACAAATGCTGCAGCATGCATATTTTTAAATTAGTTTGAAACATCAACTCCTTTTTAACAAAGTCGAAATTGTAAGTGTTGAGATATACATATAGATCAGCAAGGCAAAGTTTGTAGGGATACACTTTCTTTTCCTAACAGTAGCGGGTGTTCTAACAAAAACCATCTTCCAATATAGAAGCTCTTCTTAGCGTTTTAAATTAAATTTAAAAAAAGTCTTCTACAATGCAGCTATGAGTGCACAAGTTAGTCTTTTAGGTTAAGTGCTTGTTCATAAGGTCATTGATTCATTTGCAACTTCAGCTGAAGCAAGCACAAACAAAAATCAGTTTGCTGAGAAGCTTCACCCTTCAATTCCTAAAACTGGAGTTCTGCTCTTTAGAAGTATTTGTTTCTCTCTTGCTACTTCTAACTTAGTGGTAGTAGTGAACTCTTTTCTATTTTGTGTGGACTTAAAGAAGCTGTGCTGCTGTTTAGAAGAGCACACCCTCCACTGCTTCAATTTCCTAAGGTTCACAAAGAAAGAAACTACTTTTCTTTACATCTTCTGCTCCAGCATATGTTTGAATATATTTCCATTATGTTCTCTTTGCAAGCTAACCTCTGCTCAGGTAAAAAGCTTTCCATTATGCTCTTTTCGCAAGCTAACCTCTGCTCAGGTAAAAAGTCAATCTGTTCTGGCTTATTGAAAGTTTCTATGGGTTGACAGTTGTGACAGTGAAATACATGCTGAGGTTTATGTTGTGCATTATGTTAGCGAAACTAAAAAACCAATAACCAGTCTTCTACATGGTTCTAATGGTAACGTACTCTATGTCTATTGTAGAAATTGAACAGAAGGAGAAAACTGATTATATTTTACTCTAAAGAGTAGCATTTTCCATCTCTCAAATACCTTCTCTAGCACAGGTTTGTGCACATTAGTGCAGAAGGCTGATGGAAAGGGTGAGTGTTGTAATTAAAACATGCAGCCACACTGCTGGTGTATACTGTGAGCAATATAAACATGAAACGCCTCCCACTGGGAGTGGCAAACTGACTAGCATGTACAAACCTCTCTGATGTTTGGACAAGAATGATGTGGCTTAATGAGGCAATGGAGAGTATTAATTATAAACAAGTTATATACCACTGAGGTATTAGGGAATAAATGTCATTTTATGAACAAATATACTATGCTTCTATATTGTTATTTTCTTCTGCTAAATCAGGAATGAGGTTGATTATGAGAACACTGATACAAGCAAAGGTAACTTTTGTAACAATTTGGGTTAAAATCCTGGAAGACTATCTGGAGCCCTGTGAATTTTTATTCCAGCATTTCCCTTCATATGAAATTTTTGTAGATTTCATTTTTCTAAGCCCACACAAGACATACTTAGGTTGTCACATTCTTTGTATACTGTAATAAAATACAAAAAGGTGCATTTAATTTTTCTGATTAAAAATCATATGACTGAATGTGATGCACTAATATTTGTCATGTTAGCATGACCAGGATATTAAAGCAACCAAACTCTTTCACTGAATTTTTATACATGTATGCAAAAGTATTAATAAAGGAATATTAATTAAGCAAGCTAACAGTGTAAATGTTTATACTCTTTCACCTTTATATTTGAGGATAACTGAGAAATCAGTCATAAGGTCCATTTATACATGGAATAAAGATACTGCTATGAAAAAAGCAGTTGCCAAAATTTTAAGTGTCTATGCCAAAGTACTTTAATACTAATATAAGCACAACACTAACTGGCTTAATATTCAAAAGTGCTGAGTTTCCAAAATTTAGGCAGATGTCCTGTTTAGGTGTCTAGCTATGGGTGTAATCCCAGCACTAACATCTTGGGTCATTAGTTTTATGTTCCAGGAGAAAGAATCATCAGGTTTATTCCCACAAATATATAATTATATGGATTCTTGACTACAAAGAATGTACTCCAATATTACTGGACTAGGTTTCTGCAGACTCTGCAATATTTTCATTTGAAAAATGGCACTGGAAGTATAATATATGCTTGATTTATAGTTAGGCAAGAAGGGAATGTTAACAGTAATAAACTCAAAGTTTTTTAATCGGTAATATTAGGTTTTCCGACATGGTGACAGAACACCGATTGTGAACTTTCCAACTGACCTACACAAAGAAAGTGAATGGCCCCAGGGATTTGGACAACTCACCAAGGTATGTTGACTTTCTTAGAAAAAATTATATATATGATACTAAAATAGGAAGTTGGAAGGTTCATAAACATTTTTGCGCTGTTATTCATCCAGCTACTGTTAAATTGAAATCTTGTTCATCATAGATTTCTAACTCTCTTCCTAAAAGGAACAACTTCCTTATAGTGTGTCTGCATTCAAATAAATGGCAAGTTTAAACATTGCACTCTCAACATTGATAAAGTTCTAATGACTATTCTAATGACTGGGCGCTGTGACAGGGCAAAGGAATGATACATGCCCACCAGGTCAAGTGATGAGTCCACATCTCATCCTTTGACGGCAACCATCAACTCATAAAACCAGGGAAGACCTGCAGAAGAAGGCTGCTTCTGTGGACAGTGTGTTTTCTAATAAGGCTGCTTGCAGCCCAGAGTTTCATGTGGATGTACTGAACCTACTTCTTGCTCTGGCATTTCAACATCAAGCCTTAGCTCTAACTGTATTTCACATATGAAGTTCTGGAGCAAAGAGAGGCCAATACATTTCCTACTAACACTTTGTCATGATGCAGAAGCATGAAACATAGATAGTTCAGCATTTAAGGTTTGAAGGAAGGCTTGAAAGATCCATAAAATTCAGACACTCAGACAACACATGACTATCCTCAGGTACATAGCTTATATAGTTAAAAGAAATAAGTTTCTTATTTGGCACAGAATTTCGAGAGCTTTTCACTATTTTATTACGTTTTTAGCAATGGTAGTAAGAATGTACTTCTCTGACAGAGAAAAAAGTTCAGCTAACAGCTTTGGAAATGAGTAACAGAAAAGACAGTGTGCAATGTAAGACAACAGCGAGCTCAACAGGGCAAAGACAGAAAAATGTTCCTTAAGGCATGAAATGTAAGCCATAAATTTATCAGGCTGATCAAACAGTAAAGCAATGACAATTATAAATACTAGGTCATCCATCATCCTTTCTCAGCTGTCACTTAGTGACATACACTGTAAAGGACAATGTTGATCAGCATCTACAGAGCTACAGCACTGTGGAAATAGCATTTGTATAGAATCAGGTCCATTTCCTTTCTCTAGCAGATGCTGCGGTCTTAGCATTTCAGAACATATATTTTTTCATAGCTATAAATAAGCATTCCTGTTAAAAATTCTATATCACCTACAACATACACAGTTGTGCTGGGTTTGGCTAGAGAGAGTTAATCTTCTTCATAGTAGCTAGTATGGGGCTGTGTATTGGATTTGTGTAGAAAACAGTGTTGATAACACAGGGATGTTTTGTCACTGCTCAGCAGTGCTCACACAGAGTCAAGGGCTTTTCTGCTTCTCACAACACCCCACCAGCAAGCAGACTGGGAGTGCACAAGACATTGGGAGGGGACACAGCCAGGACAGCTGACCCTCAATAGATGAAAGGGATATCCTGTACCATATGGTGTAATGCTCAGCACATAAAGCTGGGAGAAGAAGGAAGAAGGGGGGGACATTCAGAGCAGTGGTTTTCCTGGAGGCTGAACACCTGCCTGTCCATGAGAAGTGGTGAATAAATTCCTTGCTCTGCTTTGCTTGTATGTGTGGCTTTTGTTTTGCTTATTAAACTTTGTCTCACTCCTCCAGTTTTCTCATTTTTGCTCTTCTGATTCATTCCCTGGTTTCACCAGGGGTGAGTGAGTGAGCAGCTGTGTGGTGCTTAGTTGACAGCTGGGGTTAAACCATGACAACAGCACATTATACAAATACTTAATAATCACTTAAAAACTGCTGAAGACAACCAGAAAAAAAAAAAAGAGAGAGAGCGAAAAGAAACTTCTACATTAAGATTCTCCAGTTACCTCAATCTAATGGTCCCCTGAATCTAACAGTCATCTGTATGCTTGCCTCGCAGACTGGAATGCAGCAGCTATTTGAACTTGGACAGTACATGAGGAAAAGATATTCCAACTTCTTGAACAGCACATACAACCGACAAGAGGTACATAGCAGAACTGTCTGGTGGACCTTTCTCTGGCATAATGAAACTATGGATTTGTGATAGAGAAAAGCACATCATCATATTTACTTGATGGAAAAATTAAGGTAACAGAAGAACATTTTTGAAAGTTGGACTTTTACGTCAAGGTAAAAACATAGCCTAAAGTCTAACTTTCAGCTCCTACATTCAGATCAGATCTTCCACTGCCCAGTTTTCCAGGACTGAACAGCTCCATATGAATGAATTGGCAATTTATGCACATACACCCGACAGATGAATGCCTATCCAGTCATGTGGTGGGCCATGCTCATATACTTTATCCTGTAAAAGAGAGATCTTACAATTGTTTGGATGTGCTTGCCATAGAGTACAAATCCACTGTGGAGAAGACAACACTACCATTTTGTTCTATTCATTAGGAATGCATTGATGGGAAGGCCTAAAAGACTGTATTTCAAAGAGAGGTTTACAGTTTTAAGTGCCTTGTTCCCTGAGGTATATCAGATGGATCACAGAATCATGAAATGATTTAATTTGGAAAAGAACTTTAAGACCATCAAGTCCAGCCATAAACTTAAGACTGACAAGTCCATCACTAAACCATGTCCCCAAGCACTACATCTGCATTCATCAATGTTCCTCTGAAACCCAAAAGATGGAGAGCTTCTTTATTTCAAACCATGCTTTCTTATTCTTCTTAGTTCAGTCTGATGGTTAGATTCCAAACTGAAAGATCACAGAATGGCTTGAGTTGGAAGGGACCTTAACCATCATCTAGTTCCAATCCCCACCACTGTGAGCAGGGACACCTTCCACTAAACCAGGTTGCTCAAAGCCCCATCCAACCTGGCCTTGAACACTACCAGAGATGGATGCTTTGGCAGTTCCATTCACGCAACTGAAGTAGAGCCCAAGAAAGCTGAGTTATGGTTTCACTGTTTTGACTTTATGCAAAAACTTAAAACCAAAAACAAGAAGCCAGGATTGACAAGCTGGGTAAAATTTCCTTATTATTTTCATTGTTTCCATTTTATTTTTAACTCTTTGCTGTTCTATCTTCAGTTTTACATCCAAAGTACAGATTATGATCGCACCATTATGAGTGCCCAGTCATACCTTTCTGGCCTCTTTCCACCAACTAGCAGCCAAATTTGGAATCCTGAGCTTCTCTGGCAACCCATTCCAGTTCATATTCATCAAAAATCAGCAGAGCAGGTGAGTACTGGAGAGATGCTTCCTATAATGCCTTAAACTTTCTCAAAAGCAAAAAAGAAAAAAAGAGATTAAAAAAAGAGGAGAAACAGCTAAAATACATTTTCTATGCTTTTTGAGTTCAATCTAATAGAAAATAGCAAATGCAGCTACTGGCTGACAAGTATGTCATAGGTCAACTGTAATAGCTACATGAAAATCCTCCTTCTGTAGTTGCAGAACACCTGAATTGTCAGACACACTACCATTTTCTTCAAGGTACATTTCTCCTGGGTAGGACACTTTTGGACAGTATTCTAGGGAAGCTGCCCTAAACCTTTACAGGAAACAAGTTCTTTTCTAAGCACCAATTAGCTAGGCAGACCTCCCCTCTTTGGCAAGTTTTGTCCATAGTTTATTCCATGCTTTTCTAAGCACCAATCAGCTAGGCAGACCTCCCCTCTTCGGCAAGTTTTGTCCATAGTTTATTCCAGGAATTGAATCTTCACCAGCCACTGTAATGACTTCACAGTTATTACTTTCCTATTCTGGTAGCACTTAGGCACCCTAATTACAGACTAGAGCCGTTTTATGCTCAGTGCTATAGAAACATTTAATGAAACCCTAACACTTCTCTTGCAGATCATAAGAGCAGACCTACCTGAATAATAGGTGTGGAAGTTTTACTTTACATAGCTCTCTCTGTCTGACTCAGGTTTAAATTTTAATTTCACTGGCTCCTGTGACAAGGTCTACGTAAGGAACAGTGTGGTCAACAAGCATACAAAGTTATTGAGTGTAATGACAGAAAGGGTAATTTGCCTTTGAGGACAGAAGTTGACTTTAAGGAAATTTATACAAACCCCCTGTTAAATAACTGCCTGTCACCAACATCAAAGGATGGACTCTGTCATTAGTGGGTGGCCACACCTGCCTCCCTGTGGCATTCCTCTGTTCTTGGAGACCATTCTTAAAAGCAGGTACAGAGAGAAAGGCTTTCCACAACTGCATTAGGCACAGTGTGATTCAGCTAGAAACTAAACTCTGTCCCTCAACAGAAAAGAATGCTGTCACTGTTATTTAAATGTGGGGGACTAGGGGAAGTTCTTTCACCAGAAGACCAAAAAAGCATCAAAGTGGTCAGCCCTTAGGGGAATCACAGTGCAATGGATCTGTTAGGAGAAGGCAAGCTCATTTGTCCCTTATCACTTCTGCAGCTGCTTCAGGAGTATTAATGTTTCACTGAAACACACCTCTGCAGCAACTCAAAATTCCTGTTATATATCACAGGAAATCACCTGGAAAAAACATTGTTCCCTTGTTAAACCAAGCAGGTGTTTAAGGCATTTTCAAACCCTAAGCAACACCAAGTGGGAAATTGAGGCCATGTACAGTCCTGTCAAAAAAACGGAACACAGTTTATTTTTCAGCCACTGAGATCTATCAAGGCCTGACAGCCAACAGCACTGAGTACTGCTTAATGAAGCCAAAGGGAGCAGCTTAATTAATAACACCTAGAGAGAGATAATTAAGCCATACAGCAAGAGGAGCATTTGTTATTGTGTAATTATACAGCATCCCTCTGTTTCATATTGTGACTTCATCCTCTAGTGTGCTGCTGTTACAGAAAAATTGCACTCTTGGAAATCTATTCAAGTGAAATTGGGCTAGAGTCGGTGGCTGTTGCAAACTTCATGTTAATAAATCAGAGAGAAGAGGGATGCACTGGAAGTGCAGTCTGTTAATGTTCACCCTAAAAAAAACTTTCTTGCACACACATAAGCTATAGATACTGAAGTTATTTTCTGCACTGTATATTAAGTCAGTTCCTTAATATGCTTTATATGGTTATAGGATAATATTAGTACTGAGCGAAAAACACTATAGTGGTGTGACATAAAGTGCTGAACCAGCACAAGATTGTTTTTCTCATCATGACTTTTTACTGACACTTGATGCTGGATCAGGTATCATTTGTCTTTCTGCCAGTGGTATAAAGCATATTTGCTAGAGCACAGAGTTTGATGGATGCATGTATTTACACATTGTTCAGATCAAATATGTACAGTCAGGTGACTTCGTAATACATACACTTGGTGTTATTAAAAGTGAGGCATATCCCTAAAGAACAGAGCCATTAGGCTAATAGCACAGTTTATTTGTCACTCTAAAGTTCTGTCCATTAAGTGGTACTTAAAATGCTTACCATAATCCGCTGCTTATCTCCAAATATATGAGAGCAAAATGTGTAGATGCAGAAGCATCTACATTCAGGGTCCAGTACCAGGTGGAGTCAAATTGTAATCTGGGGGGATTCAGAAACCAAGAGGGAAATGGTAGTTCTTTTAGATTTCTGATTATGTACCCTGATCCATTTTTCAAAGCCCCAGATACGTGTAACTGCTTTCTGACAAAATCAGTTCAACTGAGGAAAATCAAGCTATCATAGACACAATTAGTCCCTAAAACGTCAAGTTACCACAGTCCATTGCCTATGTTAAGTGAATTAATGAAAAAGGTATGCAAACAAACAATTACGGAGTAGCTATGGCATGGCCATGAATCTAACAAATATTACCTCGTCAGTCTTAGCAACAGAAAAACCAGAGGGGTGTTGATCAATTTTAGAACCATGCTAAGTTTTACTTTTCTTGTTTCAGAAGCTGTATTTTCCTCTGCCTGACTGTCCTCGTTTTGCTGAACTTCAGAATGAAACACAAACATCCAGTGAATTTCAAAATAGAATACAACCATATATGGTAAGACAAATTAAAAAGAAAACAAGATCTGAGAAGAAGGAAAGTAATGAAGATGTGGAAGTTATGGAATTGCAGTTTCCTTTTGCTAAAATGCAAAACCAAATGTAAAAAAAAAATAAATTCTAATTACTCTCTTAAAATCAGAAACTTAGGCCAATGGAATCTGAAAGTATGTTTGATATGTTTATGCATTTCTCACACTTTTTTACATTAATCATCTAAAACATGAATTTAGTATTAATTTACTGAGACTATTTATTAAGCATTTAAAACATTAATTTAGTATTAATTTACTGAGACTATTTAGAATTCCATGATCTGAGAGGAAAAGAAATTTCTGGATGCAGTGATTTCAAGTTTTACAGGGTAGCACAAAACCAATTGCTAAGCACCTGCTAAATCTGAAACTTGGGAAGGTTTATGCTTTCCTGCTCTGACTCTGAAGTTGATTTTTCAGTGGAGAACTAAATCAAGCCTAACTAGGTGAACACAGATTTATGTAAATTTCTCCAAACACATTTTGAATTCATCACAAAACATGCTTCTGTTTTGTCCCTGACACAAATCTTCACAGTCAGAGATTCAAAATTTCCCATTCTCGTGCTGCAGCAGGATGTGGGTTTCAAAATTTCTCATTCTCGTGCTGCAGCAGGATGTGGGTACATGGGTGGTACACCTGCCTCAAGCAGCCATGTTCTTGTGGATAATAATTGCTCTAGATAGTGGTTACTGCTGCCCTCCTTTGCCATTGCACTTTATAATGGCATGATTGCACAAATAAAGCAGAGGTCTCAGGTCCTCATACCCTGACTGCACCTGTACACATGCTCTCAAAGTCTCTTGAGGCTTACTGTTTGGGCTAAACCCAACAATTTCCTTTTTTTTCTAACTTTCTGCTAGCTCAGCTATTCTGGTCATCCTCACTCACCTGAAATGAGTGGTGAATTATGACTTCATAGCTATCCTCTCTTTCAGCTAATTGTATGAAGCAGCTAGCATGGGAATAAGGTATATTAAGGAGTCCCTTTATTCTTCTGTGGTAGCACATAACAAGAATCCCTATGGGAATTGTTGCAGAATGATTACTTAGATATTCAGCTCCCCTTCAATGGCAGAAATAAAACCTAGTTTCCTTTTCAATTTCTTTTTGACTCACCTCTCTTTAAGTTTCTGTTTTCTCCTCATCTTTTTTTCTCATCTTCCTTTTCCCTTAGTGCCTTCCTCTTCCTTATATCTCAAGGCTTGAGGTGACTGAGGTTAGCCTCCTGGAGCAGTCAGAAGAGGGAGAGAAGAGTACAACAGAGAGCACACCAGACTTAACCATAGCAGGGCCAAGAAAAAGCGGTGTCTGAAACACACATCAGTACCTTGAAATGGTTACAAAATGAAAGCTGCAGCCAAAATCTTCTGCTACAAGGGTTTCACTTGTGAAAATTTAAACACTACTGTGTTGCCAGGTCGGGTGTTAATGAATCTAACTGTGTATGTGTTCCATATGTATTGAGTATTTGTTGTGTACTCTTCCCTTTTTTCCCTGCAGGATTTTTTACAAACAGTGGCAGTTAACACAGGACTTAAACTAAATAGTCTTAAAATACTGAACAATTTCCAGATCTGGAATACATATGATACTCTGCACTGTGAGGTAAAAATAAGTCTGTAGATGTCGGGGAACAATATAATTCTGACATTGGATTTAAATTAAACCATGGCAGTATCTTTTCACAGGAAAGACTTGCCTTCTTTCAGGATTTGCTTTTTTAAATTTTTTTAAAAATTTGTATCTAAGTTCTAATTGAGTGCTTTGGTAAAAGATAACTCAAAAACATGGTTATTATTATATTATTAGCTTTAACCTATCCACAGGCAAACATAAAAATACTTAGATTTTGAACATAAGAGGCAAGATCATAATCTATCAGTCAGAAAATTTTGAGATGATGATTGCTCCCAGTGAAAAAATTCAGACTGACCACAAGCATGGAATGATTCCATTTAGCCCCAGTCATTACCAGCAGCAGATGAAGGCTCTTAAACACAATAAGACACCATCACTCTTACATGACTGGAGAGTGACACTTGTCTGTAACTAGCCAGTGATGGAACTGGTATCTGGACAACTGTATGGGAAAGGCAGAAAAAGTGAGAGACATATAACCTGAAGCCCCAGAGGAAATGAAGAGGATAAGACATATGTCTGCAGTATTTCCCACCAAAAACCTGTATCTCTATAGTAAGAACACATTATAGCTACAAGGAATCCTCCTCACACAGGTGTTTCCCCTCTTCCCACTCACCCACTTCAGGTTGATCTCCATTCCCACAACATGTATTTCAGGGCACACTGGGGAGTAAAATCACACTGGGCAAAGAATTGAAGGATAGCCTTAGAGAGTCTAAAGATAGTAGTGTGGGGCTGGGCAAGAGGATGATGGAAAGCAGTGGAATTAAAAACATCATTTTGGTTTCCTTTACCACTAGGATATTCACAATTACACTCTCCCTGTATGGGCCACCAAAGACGTAATTGACAAGATGGAAAAACTGGCAGAATTGGCCTTATTGTCATTATTTGGGCTTTATAAAACAGAAGAGAAGTCACGACTGCAAGGAGGTAAATCAAAAAATGCATAGCTCTCAGAAAGGAGAAGACAGTGATTGTGACAAAATGCAATGCCCTGTCACCTTACTCATGCAAAATTATTGATACAGAACCTTGATTTGAAACTGTGGACAGTGGATGCCTTATTAAGCATAAAAATATGTGGTGAACACTGGCACATGCATGGATGAGATATTGTAACAAGATGTAAAAATTATCTTTAGTTATTCCTGATTTTTTAATGGATTAGGATTTTAAGAAATATTACAGAAATCTAAGGGAAAAAATCCTTCCCTCATGGGTATGATCATCACTTGTCTGATACTAGGTTAGATTAAGTTTAAGTTCTGTTTCTCCAATATTTATTCTAATCGTTTCCTGATCTTAGCTTCTCCTTTTGATGTACTAGTTATATATCGTGCTAAAACCTTGGTGATACATTGGTAGCTCTTTGAGTGACTGATGTAAATCTGCTCCAAAACTGTTTGGAGCAGTTAGACTATGTAATAGTCTAAAGACTAGTAGTCATCTCTAATAGTCATACAGACTATCTAATATGTCTATAAAATAGAAGATGTCTATAATTGTCCAGTTATGTCTGTGCTGCAAGACTTGGGACTACTGCTTAGCTCCAAAGTTGGGGCACCACAGACTATGCACATTCTGTACCTACTTCAGAACATAACCCATGAATTTATCATGTGATCCCCAGTTGTCCATGAGCAGGAAATCCAAACAATTGAGCTTAAGTATCTGCAGGCTGGACCATTTGGGGCTAGGCTCAATAATGCACCTACTGGGCAGTCTAAAGCTAGGTAAAGAAATACTAGTAGACTCATCATATAGGCATATACATCACTGGATCAAGTCGTATAGTAATTACAGGCTTAGACCTGCATTAAAGCCCACTAGCTGGCAGATGGCCATATCATGTGGCTTTCAAGTGTTCATGAGCATACTACTTATGTTCTCTTCCCTTAGAATGATATAGTGCTACAGAGAACTTTTCCTGCTGTTCTCTTATTGGCTTCAGAATACCTCTGGTCTGGAGGAGCACAAAAGAGCTTTGGAAAACAAAAGTAGAATCGATACTGTGTAACTTGTTGAAAGTAAACAGTTAAAATATTTCTTTCGCGGTAGAGAGGCATTGCCATTATTACAACACTACAAACAGACAAAAAAAACAAGGATGGAGAGGAGGTCTCAGCATAACAGAACTGGATGTGTCATTAGCCCCAGTCCTCAGGATACTTCTAGATGATTTCCTGTGAATACTGCCTCTTTGCTTGACCTGGATGATGAATCATGTTTCATCCTTAATACCTTCTCTCTAGTTACGAAATTGTAGTAAGCTAAAAAAATGAGCATGAGGCCTGAGTAGATGTCTAATATTTGATACTTCTAATATTTTGGGGTTATTTTTGTTTCCATGAAAATATTATACCTTCATTTTCTTCTTCCTTCTTTCCATATTTTTAAGGTACCCTTGTGAATATTATTTTAAATAGTATTAAACAAGCTGTCAATTCTTCAAAACCAAGAAAAATGGAGGTCTACTCAGCAGTGAGTATTTCAATCTTTCATAAATCTTGCTTTGGTTTTACCAGTAAAAGACCCTTAAAGAGAATAATCAGAGTCTCCGTGTAAGTTAAATGAAAGACTAATATAATAACGTTTAATTCAGCTAACAATCTAAACACCAGTCAGTACAAGATCACAGCATGAGCATGGATCTCACCTCATCTTTAGTCAAACTATACTTGGCAAAGAAAACCATGTATTTTATAA